CAATTTTAAAGTCGCGAGCTGCCCCAGCGACTAAAAACACATTTTTTTCATATTGTAAAAATCAAATGGGCAGGTCGCAGAGTTGAAAGCCAGATATATAACACACTGTGGCATTGGTGCTTGATTTGCAATTGTAGTAAGTAAGTTGCAGCTGAGAACGAAAATTGCGAAGGACGCAGCTCAACCTGATCGAAGGCTTTCTAAGGACGCCTCTTGCAGCCACCTTATGACTCATGTCTGACTACGGAGCGCAGCTACGGTGGGTTGGGATAAGCCCGAAACTGATCCTTCCACCCTGCTCAATACCCGGAGAAAACCCGCAACTTTTCGTAGAGCGTTGACTGACTCTTCACACAAGCGTCATGATGTAGCCACAATAACCGAGTTTAACACATGGTTATAATATCCCCTGTTTACGCTGTGTTTTAAAAATCATCAGAAAACAGTATGTTTGCAAACGTATTTTGTGTTCCAATTACCTTTGAATGGCCTAAGTCGTATCTTGTATTTACGTTAGTAATTATCAAGCCGCCGTTTGTGTTTTCCGAAGGCTGAGGTTGATCTCATGCAGTTAGGGTTGATGAACACAACATGAGGCCTTGACAATTCTTCGTATTTTGCGAAAAGCGATTTTATTATTTCTTTATTAAAAAGATGAGACCGCGGCCCGGTTGTCAGAAGTCACTTGTGTGGCGACACAATTCCTCATTCCTTCGGCATTTGTCATTGGAATGACGTCATAGCGTTCGATATTATGACGTTGAATACGATGTTAAAATTCCATATTTGGTCAACTATTGAGTTGATGACGATTTCACAGTTGGCTGTTAGCCAATCAGAAATCAGAAATTCTTTAAAATAGATAATAATTTTCTTTATGACCTCTTTTTGTAAAACATGGATATAAATTTCAAGTTGATTGAATTTACAGTGTAAAAAACATAAACCTTTTAACAAAACTAATTTTCTTTTTCTTTCTTTAATCCTCAGTTGGCTTGGTTTAACTTCTTTGTTGAAAAAGTGAATCTTATAAGAGAAATGCTGTAAGTTTTGTTTGATTTTAAGCCGGATGTTGTCGTGTTAAGCCAGTTTACTTTTAACTGAAGAAATTCCAAATTTAGCCTAAGATAAATATTTCCTGCTCTATGTCAAAAAACAATTGAATTGAAAAGGTTTTGCAAAGATGCGAAAATAATTGTAGCATTTCTCGCAGCTGTTCCTGGGTAGGTCTAAGAATTGTACATAATCTTTCATTCGAAATTTGCTTCGTCAAAAACCCTTCAAATGTTAGTTCTATCGCGCGTATAATGCCCAAACATCTCGATATTTATCTATAGTTTCAATTGCATGGATTTTTTCCAATCTTATACTTTGTCTTACATGGCATGCAGTCTTTGAGTTTGTTGAAAAATTGTTTATTAACCTGGTAATGCACAACGAAAATTAGTATACAGCTATTTCAAATAATGTTGTCCACGAGCAAAGCGGGAAAGTCGAATACGAGCGCGAAAGGCTGCTGGGAATCTCTAACAAATTAATGAATTTTCAAAGCGATTCCCAGCAGCCTTTCGCGCTCGTATTCGACTTTTCCGCTTTGCTCGTGGACAACCTTAATTGAAATAGCTGTATACACTCCTCATAACAAAGACGGTCAACATTTTTTTCCTAAGGGAG